GAAGGAATAATCGATCACCCCAGCATTTTTAATGGCTGTGGATTGATAAAACATATCACAGAAACCTTGGTTTCCAGGGTTTTATGCAGCAACACTCTCATGTGATTCCGCAGCAGCAGTGCCGCATCGTAATTAATCCCCCAAACCTCAACATACAACCGACTGATACATGAGGTGACTGAGTGTTTTCAGCTTCACTGATTCCTCCAGCATGTATCTCACATATACGTCCTTCGCTGCTCCTCTCATCTTTATGGCTGCAGGGCAGTGACTGAATCTCATTGAGCCTGTTGCTCCCTCTGGTGTGCATTAAAAGTTACGTATGTGTGCAAAGGTACTAGTTATTATGATCATTTTAAATTAACAGAAATATTCTAGGAGTGCTAGTGGCAGAGCAGTTAAGGCTTTGGGCTCGGTGGAGGTTAGAGTCCACAGCAACCGCGGGGCCCTTGACCCTGACATTATGTGGCCGTGGACTTCTTTGGGTCAGTCAGAGTCCAGATGCTAAACAGCAATGATCAGCATGTACTTCCAACAGGATGCAGTCCATTTACCTGACTCACTGGAGATTTTGATTTTAACAGTCTTTCCAATGGTCTATAGAGTTAAAGTGGAAAAAGTAGGAGAAAGAAAAGTTACCATTCACCCACTCTCCTGAAAAGTTAGCTTGACTTCCCCCACCCTGTTTTAAGTCCTGTAAAGTATTATCGTCATTGGGAACTAGCTCTGAGGCATACGTAGATTTGGAATCTACAATCTTACATTCTTCTTCTTGAGTAAAAACGCACTTAGGGAGAGTTATCTTGCACCTTTCTTCCAATTTCACTCTGTTGCGTAAAACACTACTTGGTGGGAGGAAGGCTGCTTCTCTCTTACTACAGAGTTTTGTTTCTGTGAGGACCCTTATTGAATAAAAACAGCCAGACACAGTTCCGTCTGGGCTTCAATTTATCAAAAGTTTGAAAGGGGAAACGTAATGCCCGACACTGACGGATAAACGGTACACACTTGCTGCGAGAGGCTGAATCCATCTGTGGTCGCCACACATTGCAATTACAAAAAGCAGCTCCAGCATTACTTGACCAGCAAACATTTTTCTTGTGCTCGGGGGAAGGCTTTGTGGCAGGTGGCCTAAAATGACTGCAGGCACGTCTGTGGCCACAGCACTTCCTCACCACTCACCGAAATGGGCATTAATGCAGACCCACACGCGCTGAAAATAACATCTCCACTTAGCTCACAGGATGCATCCATTCACACACACAAGACCACAAATGAATAATCCATGTTTTAAACTGACAATAATAAACAAAGATGTTCATACCATCACACTACGTGGCTGATACGTTTATTATGTTGTTTTATTAGCAATGACCCTAATCTGTCGGATTCAAGGTGAAACTATCGATTGTTCGTGTCCTTGTGCTACTATAGAGCATTTTCAAGTGAGCAACCGCGACACATTTATCTTTGCTGTCGATCAGTCTACTCGCTCCACATTGTTCTCTACTGTTTGTGATTCATTACTGTTTGAGTCAGTGAGACGTTTTACAGCCACCTTTGTCTTTGGCGAGAGAGAATGATAGAGTGTGGAAGACAAAGGTAAGTGTGCTGATTGCATTCTCGATTATACATTCCAGATGGAAAACCCCCTGAGAAATAAACTAGAAATAAAAATGCAAATAATCTCATGGCAACGGTAACGAGGTAAAGATTTGATAAGATATGAAAATGGAAATCTCTTTCGGTTTGGCTCTTCTGCAAACTCTGAGCCAACTGATGCTCTTTGATCAAAAAGCTGCCATTTAACCAGAGTGGAAACAAGCCAAATTCAATTTTATTTGAAGCATACTGCCAGCATCCCTTGTAATCAGGATCAAAAGAGGGCAAGAGCAGGCACGGCTTCATTGATTAAAGCGATGTGACAGTATGACAAGCACCTGTCACGGCCACTCATTAAATTGCTCTTTAGAAGAAGGGAAAAAGAGATTTAATCTCTGTGCATTGCAGTTCACCACAGGATGCCAATATATCTCTATTTGATCCACTTAAATTTGGTAATGCATGACTTTCCAACCACCTAATAAAGAATAAAAGGTATTCCTTTTTTCTTTTTTTTTTTTAAGAAAAGAAAAGTCATTCTTTGCTTCCCTTCCACATGTATTTAAAAGAACCAAATGTTAGTTTTACCTGCATCGATCTTGTCTTTGCAATTTACAGAAAATATGCAATAACATTTACAGTTGAAACCAGAAGTTTACATACACTGTATAAGAATCTAAATCAATCAAGAATGGAACATGAGGTTTAATAGTGTGTAGAATAAGGAACAGAAAAATCTAGGAAATCTAAAATGCTTTTATGGGAAGAAAATGTTAGTGAAAAAAAAAGTTTAAATGCAACTCAAAGCTGTCAAATGGTAAACACACTATGAGTTCTACGCATGGTTCAGCTATCTTAGTTTTTATTCCTTTTTTCTAAAATGGGGGCTACGTGGAAGAAGTAGTGCTGAGGCAGCAGAATTTCAAGTTTGTTAGGAAATTCAATGGAACTGAATTCATTCAGAGGAGGCGGCTGCTGTTTATTTTTCAGTTAACAAGTTCATGGTCTGAATCCAACCCGATTTTATCTTGATTATTGTCTCGATGCCTAAAACATAGCACAATTTTGAAACATAGCTAACTCAAAGTGTTCACTAGGCTCGAGAAAAACTCCACTTGGTGGGGTAATACGATGCTAGAATGAGAAATTTCCTTTTCTAAACATTGTTTTGTGGCTTGTGAACTTGCTTTTAATTGCATGATTTCTTTATGTACTGCCCACTAAAGTACATTTGTGAATATCTGACAAACAGTTTTTATATTTTGGAGCTGGAATCTATTGTTAATATACTCAGTCTGTCTACACCTATCGGTCAAGTGATATATTGTCACACATAAAGTTGGAATAATTTTTGTTGTCAGACACATTCCTCTGTTTACTTCTATTTATACATATCAGTAATCACGTCTGACCAGGTGCAATGATTACATGCTGAGCTCAGCTACCAGGTGAAACTAACTCTGACTTCAGGATCTGACCGAGGAGCGGGACGTCCTGCCCATTGACACCATCAACAAGCTGGTGGACAGTATGCCACAATGTCTTAACACATTGATCTGTGTCAGATGTGGCCAGACTCAACATTAGTGACATTTGAAAGAGGAATATTGGACATTCTTATGCATGAAATCCCCTCTAATAGGTGTTTCCTGTTAAAGGGGCCAAGGTTGAAAAATTAAAACAAAACCCTTCATCCTGTTGTCCAATAGGCCCAGTTTAGTTTAAGCCTGAATACACAGATTGTTAAAAGTTAATTCTGGTTTGATTTTTACTGTGATATGTGTTGTATGTACATTGTAAAATCAATAACATTTTGAGATTATATACACTTTATCAATCAAGAATGAATCACATTGTCACAATCATTCCACGAGAAGAGGAAAAAAAATAAAAAAAATAATTCCAACTTTATGGGCAGCAGTGTAGATATAGGACAGGCTACCTATCCATCCATCTGAGATATAGCTGAAAAGATCAATAGATGTTCATATTAATATATTTATTCATCATTTATCATGGATGAGAAAAGATTCGATTTTTCAATCCATACTTGATGAGTGGTTACATGAGTGATGGATCGATGTGTGGACATCCATCTTTCATAGATGGATATCCACACATCTGTAGTTTACAAGCAGAATTCTATTAAATTAATTGCCTTCAAACTTTTTTCATTTTTTTTGAGAAAGTTTTACAGCTAACCATCTGTCCGTCACAACAAACCCTGTGCATGGTTTGAGTTGTAACATTTTACTTCTGCCCCATTTGGAGGAACTGTACAGATGCACACATCTGCCCAAGCTGCCAAACATCTCCACTAAAGTGGCACGTTGCAGAGACCTTCACCCACGACACACAAGATCATAAATGGATAATCCATGTTTTACGCTAATATATCCATACCGTCACACTCAGTGATTCATAAACTATTCACACTGTAGAACATGTGTATATGTATATCCTGTAAAAAGGATCACCAGTGGCTGGAGTCAGGGAGATGGGATAAGCCCTGGATGTCTCGTCAGTCCATTACACAGCGATCACAGAGACAGACGGCACAGACACAGTAACCCAGTGGTAAAAGGGTGTTATTTTTAACTCAGGGAACATTGCCTAATTGAAATCCACCCTCTGTTTGAATGACGTGTAGACTGTGAGAATGCATTACTGTGATTCACTGTGTCGGAGTGCTGGTCAGACCTGGATGCAGAATGAAAGACTCCTTACTGGTACAAAAAAGGGAAAGCATTTGGATTCAGCATCCCTGCACTGACTATTATTATCTATTAAACACAGAACTGAATTTAAGGTTCTTTTGTTTAGAAAATTTCAATCGAGTATAAAGTTTGCCTAAAATTCCTGAGCTTTTAATATGATAAAGGCGGTGTTTTCAAACGTTAAAAAATGTCCTCTGTCCTCTCTCAGTCAAATGTTGCTCCTCTGTTGACATTTTTAAGGTAAATCTCAGGACGTAGATGCTTTTATTTGCTCCTAATCGTCTTAATATTTTAGTATTTTATGTTTACAAGGATCATCCTTTTTGCACATATATTGCAGTGTTGCTACCTGATTGATAACTTGCACACCACAGTATTAAATGTTTAGATTCAGATTTTACTTCATAGCGCAAGTGAGACTTTTATATTGAAATTCAGAAAAGGAAGCTACGGCTCTACTGAATCTAGCTTGACGGTAGTTTTACTGCTACGACCTGTTTCTGAAATTAAAATTAGTTGTTTCTCATAACTTAATCAAGTAACTAAAACAAAGCTAGTAATAAAATGTCGTCCTAATAATAGCCTACTTTTTAGCTTCAGTCACTACTGACCATAGACTGTATGCTACTGACATTGATTTTATTTTGAAATACACCTCACCGGATGTTATTCGTTGACACGCCGGTAAAGGTGGCGTTCACGGGCTCTGTGACATGTTCCAGCGTTAGGCAACTTCTTTCCACTTATTTCTATTCAGCAGCTCAGGTAGGTCCGTTATTAGCTCGTTTGTCGCTGTAGGCGCCCGTAGCTTTTAATTAAACAAGCTAACGCACCGCCTTTAAATGAATGCAGGCTAAAGACGAGTGCTAACCTCAGTTAGCATAGCAAGCAGTGATGTGTGACTTCCAACGTTGCACACTACGAGAAAGTTTTTAAGTTTAATTCTGGGCGTGTTCAAAAGCAGACGTGTGTTTTTAAAAGAACAGGGATGGAGTCTTCAGTGATTAAAAGTTGATTTAATAACTGTTTCTGCACTTGAGGAAGAGGAAGTCAGTGAACATAATAATAGTCTGGTAGGGAAAAGAATAAACAGTGTCAAGAACTAATAACATTAATGATAATACTAATAATAACACAATAAATATCATTAAGAGAGTTGTTCAACTTCAGTGTCAGACTGTATTTATTATTATACATCACAGATTACAGTTGTGCTGCTTTCTTGTCTATGAATTGCTGCAAATCAAAGCTTGTTTCCTGCTTGTAGTTGTTTTCATTCAGTATAAATGGCAGAGAAGCACGTCAAGCCCGACTTCAGCCAGTCTCAGGTTTCTGAGATGGTGCAGAGGCTCTACAGGTTGACCCCGTCCAAGGTTCACCCGCTGCCCGGCTATGATGACCAGAACTTCTACGTGGCGTCTGCCGAGGGTGGCGAGTACGTCCTAAAGATCATGAACTCGGAGGACAGTAAACACCCCACCCTGATCGAGATGCAGAACTTCACCATGTCCTTCCTCCACCAGCACGGACTTCCTACTCAAACAGCCCTGCCCAACACATCAGGACAGCTCATGGGTCTGGAAGAAATGGGTAGGAGACCGCCGGTCGCATAGTTTGGAGTCAGGAGTGTCCTCTAAAGTGCCTCAAAACACTGAAGCAAACGTCATCTTCCATTTTCAGGAAGTTGCATTCATGCAGGTTAAAACACTGTGTTTCTCACAGCGGCCTCACCTTTAGGGTTTGTCTGTCAAGTTTATCTTGTATCCACACTCAGTAATTATCACTTCACTTGTCACTCACTCAGAAAGTATACAATTTGTATGCAACCTGCATGCAGGAGGAACACCTTAGAGCAGGTAAATACCAACACACTTCTCTCACCGTTGGCTTCTCTGTAGGGTTTATGTCACATAATCTGTAGAAAAGTGTTTCGATGAGGTTTAAACACAATTCAAAAAGATTTCGACTGGTGGCAGGAAGGGCCTTGGTTTTCACCAGTAGCAACTTTAAAAAAAAACCCCAAACTAAATAGCTGTGAGAGGATGAAGTTGGGCCTTTCTCTTTGTCCGACACGCTGTGCAAAAGATTTGCTGAGATCCAAATACGTTTCAAAAGTTTAATAATAAAAAAAGGTCAGCTTAGTGTAACATGCAGAAAATATAACACAATTAATGTTACAGTGATCAGAGGTTGAGGTCAACAAAAAATACAGCATCCAACTCACCCTCTCAGGTACCTAAATAAACGTCACCACCCTACACCATGTGACCAGCTCCCAACAAATAATCATAATCATACAAATAACTAAAAATAATAATACAAAACAATACATATCATTAATAAAAATCAAAATATTATTACTAATATAAAATCGTTCTCTTTAAATTTCAACGTATTCATGGCTCCTACACACTATTAATTAACTACTATTATACAAATAAGAAGATAAAATGTGTCGTCCACAGTCAAGGAGTGATTGAAGCCAAACCTTTCGACACAGCAACACACACTGCAGCTGTGTGTTCTTATTAAGGCTGCACAAAAGTGTAATTATTAAATTGTACATTGTGAAATCTCTGTGGTACCAGGACGTCAGTAGCTCACATATGCAGAACAGTGGAGTCTCTCTGTGGGGTTTCAGAGTAGTGTGAGTTCCTGTGTTGAAGCTTTGAGTAGATGTTGTAATTAGAACATTCTAAATGGCTCATGACACGAACTTCATGTCTTCTCTTTTTGTACCACCTGCCACCCAAGCATTGTCCACTGAGGTTTGTGGAATACTTTTAGTTTTTTCAGCGTGCACCTTGTTTGACATTTGACAGTAACAAATAGCTGTAGTTGACTGTGTGTTATACAACATCACTATGCGCTGTGTGTTGCCCTGGGCTAGTTGCTGAAGGAAAGAGCTCATAAAGATAAATGATTTGCCACTTCACCGGTGGAAAAGGTCGACCAACACATCCTGCCTCGAGGCAAACAAATACATTTGTAACCGTAATACAGCGGGCCACAACAGGTTCAGGTCCCAAGTAATATTAATACCCGTATACTCTCGTATTGATAATTGTGCCCTCCAGCAAGGCCACACCGTACAGGTTCAGGGCTCATGAGGCCTAAGAGTAAGATAAGTGACTGTTGCACTCATCATTTCTTTACGTTTGGCAGATTGTGGTTATGGCTGTCAGAAGTACCTGGTGCGGATGTTGACTTATTTACCCGGGACCACTATTTCCAAGGTTCCTTTAACGCCACAGTTACTGTATGAAACTGGCAAGACGGCAGCTAAAATGGACCAAATCCTTAAAAAGGTATAATAGTGACACACCTGTGAAACTTTACATCATTTGTATTGTTAAATAAAACCATAGAAACAAAGTACTGCGAGACAAAACCTCGAGATTTTTATGAAAGTGTTGTTATATATATCATTTTTTATCACTTTGCTAAGCTCGATAAAACAACTACTGACAGAAATGGTGTTCGTAAGTTTACCTGTGTCTCGCATTTCTTCCTCTTTTCTTTTTCCAGATGGAACACCCAAATCTCAGCGTACTGCAGAGGGAGAACTTCATATGGAGTCTGACCAACATTTCCCTCCTGGAGGCGTACATGAATTTATTCGATGGCGATCCTCTTCAGGAGGTGGTGAAGTCGGTCCTTCATCACCACAAGACCTCCGTGGCCCCCCAACGCTCCAGTTTCCGCAAGTGTGAGGCTTAAAATGATGTTCAGGGAAATGCTTTATTGAGACTTTGTTTTCTGATACTGATGCTGTTTACCACTTTTATACAACACATGCTCATACAAACACTCTCCTGCTCTCCTTCCTGAACACAGCGGCGACCTTGTTCAAGGGCCCTGATTGTTTACAGTCAGTAGAGTTCATATATGTCCTTGGTGTAATGGTTCGTGTGAACAATAGCTTTTTATTTATTTCTTGTCGAAGGCATTAACCATGGCGACTTCAATGACCTGAACGTGCTCGTGCAACCTGATGAGAGCGATGGCTACAGGATTTCTGGCATCCTTGACTTTGGGGACATGAACGACGGCTACTACATCCACGAGCTCGCCATCACCATCATGTACATGATGACGGAGCACCCTAAACCCGTGGAGGTGGGTGGACCCGTCCTCGCCGGGTGGGAAAGCGTCCTTCCCCTCAACGAGGCTGAGAAAGATTGTCTGTATTGGCTGGTGCTGGGCCGCTTCTGCCAGTCCTTGGTTTTAGCTCGTCACTCTGTGTCCTTACATCCGGAGAACGAGGAGTATCTGACGATTACATCCAGGAGGGGCGTCTTCACTCTCCGACAACTCTGGGAGCTGGGAAGGGAGCAGGTGGAGAAGGTGTGGTTTCAGAGTGCTGCTCAATTCAGCGACAGGAAGTGAGGAATATGTGAAGGAAGAAGTACATCAGGTGATTCCACTGAGCCAAAATGTGTCCAAATCAAACAATAGATAGAAGTGTTTGTACCGTATGGTGACAGTAAGTCATGTACTGTAAAGCCAGCGTTTAGACATGAAGAGACAAGTACCGTTTAGTAAATCACTTCATATGTAACTCAGTGCTTGTAATTAGGAGTTCGAACTTGAACTGAGCAATCATTGCCTCTAAGATACTGATTACGATTAAATAAGTGCCTACATTCGTCAGTTTTTACACTTCAGTGGACTTTTATACCAAGGTGCTGTTCTGTTTGTATGAAGACTGAGTTCATTTTATTATACGTCCGAGAAATCCAGCGATTGTTTATCAAAAGCAGATCAACCAACGTGTTTCTATAGATGCATTGCATTTGCACAAATATATTTTGGTGCAGTCGGTGTCTGCTTACAGTGTAGTGCATTATATCAATTGTGCACTTTTTTATTTGTACATTTCTTCATTTTATACAGCAGTTCCTCAAAGTGCATGAAGAAACTAAACATATAATGTGCGCTACTTTCTGCCACATTTCATTGATGGAACAATGAGCAGTCGAGCGCCACTAAGCTGCCAGCGATGACACAAAGGGACAATGATTAACACGTGTCAGAAATCTGAGTTTGCATTTCAGCATGGAGGAAGTGAAAGAGCTTCAGCCACTGAGTGCATCATGTAAACTTTTAGAATTGGTTAAAAATTCCTCTCGTACTGGGCAGGATTGCAAAAACACATCACCAGTAGGGTACAACTAACCTGTCTCATGACCGTCTAAACCCAGCTCACCTTCCCTACTAGTGGGTGAACAATCCAACGCTTGGTGAAATCTGCTTCACAATAATAAGAGCCACCAACGAAGAATCAAAAAGCGACGTCGCTATGAACACTTGGCCGCCACAAGCCAGTTCTCCCTGTGGTAACTTTCCTGACACCTCCTGCTAGAAACCCAAAACAGTCAGAAGGATCTTTACCCTCCCAAAATAATGTATATTTTGGGGGTCGTGCCTTGATTTAAACTAATCTGTTTTAATCTTACGAAGGATTAAACAATGCGAAGTGTTTGTTTAATTTTTAGGAATTTAATGCAACTCATGTGTGATTTTATTTGTTTCTTCTGGTCATTTTTCTGTTTTTATCTTCCCATCATAGCGTGCAGACTCTGCCACGTCACTTCCCCGTGTATAATTTCGTTTAGTTTTTATATATTTACATTTGTCAATCATTTGAACTAAACTGTAAACATTAAGTGCAATCACAACATCTGTTCAGTTTACTCAGAATGTGGAAATCATGAGTATATATTTTATGAGTAAATATATGAAAAGTCAAGTGGCTTTAGTTACACCAGATAGTCAAGATGTTGTGCATCCCGACGTTCCCACTACATGGATTGACTCAACTTTTAATTGGTGTGTTCGATCCTTTAGCAAATCTTGATAAAATGTGACTTTTATACTGTTTCACTTTTCTCATTGAAAGAATCGGTTGTATTTTTAATGTGTGAGGCTGTACGTGATGTACGAGTGGCTCTGGGTGAAAATATACAGCCTACATCTCATTGTACATATCTTTCTCGTCATCTCTCAACGGTGTGTAAGTCAGTTTAATCCTGCCGAGGGAATGAGAGATGTTTTGTGCCAGAGGTCGTGTCCTCTGGAGTCTTGGTGATCCAGAGGAGCTGCACATGCAGGTATTTGGTCAGCTTTACTGAAAATGATTAACTGGGAGTTTAGTGGTTATTATTCTGGGTCTTTTTCTTTGCCCCCTTTTTTTATTACCTTTTATCTGCTTTCTGGTAAATGATTAATTTGTATGATCTTTGAACACGTGTTTAGAATCACTGCTTCTGAAACAAGTCGGTGCAGTTATCTCTCAGGTAAAGGCTCCAGTTACAGCCCAAACAGACTCGACCGTATTCCAGTCGCTCTTTTAAATGTAATGCAACTCATCGCCATGTAAGATCGGTTTGCTTTACATGTTTGGGCACTCTGCATGTGCACTGGCACAGAAGCTACACTCATGGCATTTCAGTATTATACACAGCATCAGATATACTATTTACCAATGCATTATTTTGTTAATGGAAATAAAGTGATTTGAACAGTTTCCTGTCATTTGTTTTCCCTCCTGGATAAATTCTGGGGTAATGCTGCCCTCATGTGGCCGTCACAAGCTCCTACTTGAACGCTTTGCTCCGTTTCCTTTAGTAGAAGAAACAGGACAGTTACAGTGTGTGATAATCCGTCCGTCCATCGTCTATACACTGCTTAATCCTCAGAGTCTATCCCAGCTGACTTAGGGTGAAGGCAGGGGACACCCTGGACAGGTCAACAGTCTATCACAGGGCTACACTTAGAGACAGACAACCAAGCACACTCACATTCACACCAACAGACAATTTAGAATTAACCTCAAAATATTTTTGGACCTTGTGGGAGGAAGCCGGAGAGAACCCACACTGCACGGAGAGATCCCGAGTGTCCTCACCGGGACACGAATCAGCGATCTTCTTGTTGTGAGGCGACGGTGCTAACCACTGCTCCACCTTGCAGCCCATGCGTGATAGGCAGAAAGTACAGATCACTCAGAACAAGGACAAGATTCAGAGACAGTTTCTACCCCACAGCAATAACCACAGTCAGTACATTTAAAACGTAATACATGCTGCTCAGTGCAATTAAGAGATGGATGTACGGGTGTGTGTTTGCATGTCTGTAATTATTTATTTAGATACAGATTTATTTTTTAAATTACTCTTTTACAGTTTTTATAGTCTTTAGTTTTATTTTGACATGAATGGTGCACTGTTGGTTTGGCACTTTTTAATTCCATTGTACAATGACAATAAAGATTCTATTCTATTCTATTCTATTCTATAATATTTTAGAAATTCAAGTAATCTGTGACGGTGTGATTCCTGGTTAGACCATTTGCTGCAGGTCGTACCATCGTCTCTCTCCACTGCCACTGTGAAATGTTGGCATTAAAGTAACCTGTTAAAATTAACAGACTTGTTGGAGTTTCCTGAGGTGACTCCAACACTGAAGGAACTGTCAGATCTCTCAACGTAACGCGCAGCCTGCTGTGGTGTGTTTAGTTCCACATCATTGTTAAAATGTGCCATATTTGCAAAGTGATCCAAAATCACTGTCACGCACGGCCCCGGTTAAACTCCAGTCGCAGTGGGAATCACACTGTGTCAGGAGTCTGCAGAGCACGAGTTGGTAACAAAAGGTCTGTAATACAGTAAATGGCCCCATTAGTGTTAAACTCAGCTAACTGGTTGCTGCTATAGGTTTATATTTAAGCTCCTGAAACAAGACTAGCATGGACTTTCTATGCAACCCTCCAGGATAAAGAAGCAAACAAGCGTCTTGCACCAACATGTCAGGCTTTAATCAGTGTTCCCGCACACAGAAAGCCGAACCCCAACTTAAAATTACATTTCACTGACCCGATTAGATCCAAGAATAATAACAACCATCAATTCCTCAGACCGCTTTCAAAATCCCCTTCCATTCAAAACAATACTTTTTTTTTCTAGGTGAAAGTGCAACCATCAGTCTTTTGTCCTTGCCAAGGTAAAATTAAGAGTACATGAGCTGCCACTTCCTCCTGTACGACATGGAAGCATTTTTGGCACAGGAGGCACCCGGCCAGCCAAGTCTCTCCAGGTTATTAGATTAAAGTAAATCAGCTATATAAATACGATTATATTTAGATGTGAAATTACAGACGGTCGAGGCTACGTGCAGTACGAATCAGGAGACTTGCAATCTCGGTACACAGAAGGTACAAGAGGACACAAAGGAAACAAACAGGTGTCCTAAAGGTCCCTTATTGGTCCCCTTTTCAGCAAAATAATACGTATGTTTCAGTCACTGTTTCGTACTTTTTTCATTTTGTTAACAAGAGAAACAGGAAGATATGTAAATGGGAACAGTTTTCTTGTGGACTTTTCAGTCATAGAAACCAGTAAATGTGAGCACAGAGAGCAGGAGAGAAGCAAACAGGCTGAGTTTATGCTGCAC